ACACACACACACACACACATGATATTATTCACAATTTTTTTATATATAAAATAATATTCACAATTTTTTTTTTCACTTATTAACTATGAAGATTCATCCACATTTTGTACTAGTTAATCCTTTTTTTGATTTGATAAATGTTAATGATCTTTTAGAAAGATTTTGTTTGTTACATGTTAGTTCGTAGGTTATTTCTTAATATCTTGAAAATAGAACACATTCACATTATTTTTCATTGAAGAAATGTAGATTACATTTGGGAGATAAATTGCTCATGTTTTATGGCTTAAATAGACACACTTATTTTAAAATTTTCATTAGTAAAACATTAAATATGTGCAATGATACTAGTACAATTTGTATAATAAAAAAATTGATTTAACACTTTAGGAAAATAATACATGATATCTAACATCACTTTAAGAGATATTATTGTAGAAGGGAATATTAAAATACAATTTATTGACATAGAAGATTAGTTGGCAGGTATGTTTACAAAACCATTTGATCGTAATAGATTTTGTACCTTTTGAAGTTAAATACAAATAATTGACATAAATGCTTTAATTTTTATATTTTTAGGATTTTATTTTCTTTAATTTTTATTTTTCTTTGAAAATAACTTTTAAAATGAAAAAATAAAAATAAATTAATTCATTTGTATATTTAGAGTGAGAATATAAAAACACGACAAAAAAATAATTAAATTTGATTTATTTAAGCTATAAGAATATGATTTTTGGATGATTGAACTATATGATCTAAGATCAAATTATATGATCAAGCCACATATGAGTGTAAAGGCTACATAGCCAATGGAATAAGTTAGTGGATAAAATTTGACTACTTTTTTGGCACTCTATAAGAAATAAAACTTCTAAATGTACTCTATTACCCTCATCCCAAAGCACACCTTCTCTACTTCATTTTCTAAGTATTTAGGGTTTAAGGAAAAAGTTCATGAGACTAAGGTTTAACTCAGGTTCATCTCTACTTTTATGATAAGAATTTCAATTCAAGATGGTGGAAGGCAAAGAAGCCTATTATAAATATTGATAGTCATCCATAATTTATTTCTACCTAGTACTTCAAGAACAAATTTTTTACTCAATATAACATATTTATTTCAATGCTATCCTCTAATTTCTCATCTTTCTTACTCATCTTTTTTCACTAAAATTTTTGTATTTTGCAAATATTTAAATTGACTTCAATTGCACAACTCTTTCACACACACACACACACACACACACACACACACACACACACACACACACACACACACACACACACACACACACACACACACACACACACACACACACACACACACACATGATATTATTCACAATTTTTTTATATATAAAATAATATTCACAATTTTTTTTTTCACTTATTAACTATGAAGATTCATCCACATTTTGTACTAGTTAATCCTTTTTTTGATTTGATAAATGTTAATGATCTTTTAGAAAGATTTTGTTTGTTACATGTTAGTTCGTAGGTTATTTCTTAATATCTTGAAAATAGAACACATTCACATTATTTTTCATTAAAGAAATGTAGATTACATTTGGGAGATAAATTGCTCATGTTTTATGGCTTAAATAGACACACTTATTTTAAAATTTTCATTAGTAAAATATTAAATATGTGCAATGATACTAGTACAATTTGTATAACAAAAAAATTTATTTAACACATTAAGAAAATAATACATTAATATCTAACATCACTTTAAGAGATATTATTGTAGAAGGGAATATTAAAATACAATTTATTGACATAGAAGATTAGTTGGCAGGTATGTTTACAAAACCATTTGATCGTAATAGATTTTGTACCTTTTGAAGTTAAATACAAATAATTGACATAAATGCTTTAATTTTTATATTTTTAGGATTTTATTTTCTTTAATTTTTATTTTTCTTTGAAAATAACTTTTAAAATGAAAAAATAAAAATAAATTAATTCATTTGTATATTTAGAGTGAGAATATAAAAACACGACAAAAAAATAATTAAATTTGATTTATTTAAGCTATAAGAATATGATTTTTGGATGATTGAACTATATGATCTAAGATCAAATTATATGATCAAGCCACATATGAGTGTAAAGGCTACATAGCCAATGGAATAAGTTAGTGGATAAAATTTGACTACTTTTTTGGCACTCTATAAGAAATAAAACTTCTAAATGTACCCTATTACCCTCATCCCAAAGCACACCTTCTCTACTTCATTTTCTAAGTATTTAGGGTTTAAGGAAAAAGTTCATGAGACTAAGGTTTAACTCAGGTTCATCTCTACTTTTATGATAAGAATTTCAATTCAAGATGGTGGAAGGCAAAGAAGCCTATTATAAATATTGATAGTCATCCATAATTTATTTCTACCTAGTACTTCAAGAACAAATTTTTTACTCAATATAACATATTTATTTCAATGCTATCCTCTAATTTCTCATCTTTCTTACTCATCTTTTTTCACTAAAATTTTTGTATTTTGCAAATATTTAAATTGACTTCAATTGCACAACTCTTTCACACACACACACACACACACACACACACACACACACACACATGATATTATTCACAATTTTTTTATATATAAAATAATATTCACAATTTTTTTTTTCACTTATTAACTATGAAGATTCATCCACATTTTGTACTAGTTAATCCTTTTTTTGATTTGATAAATGTTAATGATCTTTTAGAAAGATTTTGTTTGTTACATGTTAGTTCGTAGGTTATTTCTTAATATCTTGAAAATAGAACACATTCACATTATTTTTCATTGAAGAAATGTAGATTACATTTGGGAGATAAATTGCTCATGTTTTATGGCTTAAATAGACACACTTATTTTAAAATTTTCATTAGTAAAACATTAAATATGTGCAATGATACTAGTACAATTTGTATAATAAAAAAATTGATTTAACACTTTAGGAAAATAATACATGATATCTAACATCACTTTAAGAGATATTATTTTAGAAGGGAATATTTAAATACAATTTATTGACATAGAAGATTAGTTGGCAGATATGTTTACAAAATCATTTGATCGTAATAGATTTTGTACCTTTTGAACTTAAATACAAATAATTGACATAAATGCTTAAATTTTTATATTTTTAGGTTTTTATTTTTATTATTTTTTATTTTTATTATTTTTTATTTTTATTTGAAAATAACTTTTAAAATGAAAAAATAAAAATAAATTAATTCATTTGTATATTTAGAGTGAGAATATAAAAACACGACAAAAAAATAATTAAATCTAATTCATTTAAGCAATAAGAATATGATTTTTGGATGATTGAACTATATGATCTAAGATCAAATTATATGATCAAGCCACATATGAGTGTAAAGACTATATAGCCAATGGAATAAGTTAGTGAGATAAAATTTGACTTTTTTTTAGCATTCTATAAGAAATAAAATTTTTAAATGTACCCTATTACCCTCATCCCAAAGCACACCTTCTCTACTTCATTTTCTAAGTATTTAGGGTTTAAGGAAAAAGTTCATGAGACTAAGGTTTAACTCAGGTTCATCTCTACTTTTATGATAAGAATTTCAATTCAAGATGGTGGAAGGCAAAGAAGCCTATTATAAATATTGATAGTTATCCATAATTTATTTCTAACTAGTACTTCATGAACAAATTTTTTACTCAATATCCCATATTTATTTCAATGCTATCCTCTAATTTCTCATATTTCTTACTCATCTTTTTTCACTAATTTTTTTTGTATTTTGCAAATATTTAAATTGACTTCAATTACACAACTCTTTCTCATATATATGCATATACACACACACACACATAATATTATTCAAAAATTTTTTTTATATAAAGTAATATTCACAAATTTATTTTCACATATTAACTATGAAGGTTCATCCACATTTTGTACTAGTTAATCCTTTTTTTGATTTGAGAAATGTTAATAATCTTTTAGAAAGCTCTTATTCCATCATTTATCATTAGCCATTGGCCTTGTGAAGAACCACAAGTTCTCAAATATGTGCTTAACACATTACATTTTTAAAAGGTAAGGATATATTGAATATTCCCTCCTCATTTCTTTAATTACTTATTATTGTATGAGTTTCATAGAATTTCATATTATAATTTGATTGTACATTTTATTGAAAAACTCACATTTATTCATAATCTCAAAATAAAATGATGACCTAATCTAGTTTGTGATACACCTAGGAACTCAAGTACAACCTGATCAATGCCCTTGGCGATTGCCTCTCCAAGACGAGTCACTGCCAACAAGTTCTGAAAGGCTTACATCTCCAATAGGCAAAAGCTCAAATATAAAAGAATATTCTTCATTCAATATGCTAGAGAATATTTACCCATAGTATGGATATTAATCCAGACAAGTATAACAAGAGTTAAATTTATCAAAATTAACTGTTAGAGATCGAACCTTTTACTATTTGTTCTCACCTAATAATGTGAAGTCATATGGAGCACGAATGCAGTATTAGGAGCGGACTCCAGTAACATGCCGTCATGTGTGCTATATCGGACCCTCCTCCCGCAGATATTATTGAAGTGAAACCGCGAAAGTTATTGAGAGAGTAATTGAGGGTTATTGGAGGATTATTAGTATTAATTCAAATAACGACACAATAACTTCTCAATTACCTCCGCTATTACACTCCCAATAACCTCCCAATAATCTCTGCAGTTACACTTCGCAATAATCTCATAATAAAACTCCATTAACCCCTTAATAATCTCCGCCTCCTGTATAACCCCCGCTATAACCTCATATTAACACCACAATAATCCCTCGAAATTTAACATCAATAATTTCTCAATAACCTCTCCTACGTAATAATATATTACGAAAAAGTCCACAAGTAGAGTACAAGTGCCCCCTTATGAAATAATTTCTGGAAGCCTTGTATTTTTAAGCGTCGGACATGACAATAAAAACCCTAGTGTTCTTCACTTCCATAAAACAGCATGAACGCCTCCATTTCCCCTGTTTTTTCGCTCAAACTATGACCGCATGAGATGGGCGACAGTAATAGCCTACCTGCTTCCCGGCGCCGGCGGCGGCCGGCATCAATGCCTACGTCTCTCGTCCGCCGCCTCTCTCCCTCAAGACCTTTCTCTCTCGGAGGACATCCTCTACATCCTCGAAACCCTTCCCTCTGCTGCCGCCATCGAGTCCTCTCTCAACTCTCTCGCTCCTCTCCTTTCCCCTTCCTCTATCTCCCTCGCTCTCTCCTCCGCTCCATCTCTACCCTCCGCCTTCCTCCTCTTCGCCTGGTCTTCCCGCCACCGCGCCCTCCGCTCCTTTCGCGCTCACAACCTCGTGATCTCCTTCCTCCTTCGTGATGCGCCTTCCTCATTCTCTTCTTTCTGGTCCTCCCTCTCCGAACTCCGTTCTTCCTCCATTCTTGTCCACCCTTACGCCTTTGCTGCCCTCATCTCCGCCTACAGTACCGCAGGCTTTACCGAAAAGGCTGTTGAGGCTTTCAACCGCATGCCGGAGTTTGCCTCCCGCCCCAACACCTTCACCTACAACACGCTTCTGAACATCCTCGCTGGGAAAGGCATGATCTTGCTTGCTATGTCGGTTTATAATCAAATGATCAAGTCTGATTGCCTCCCTAATTCATCCACATACACAATTCTCATCCATGGTTTGTGCAAGGCTGGGAAGATCGATGAGGCACTAAGGCTGTTTGATGAAATGCTGCAGAGAGGTATTGCTCCAAAAACCACTGTTTATACAGTTATACTCTCGCTGCTTTGTTGTGCGGATAGGGCAGATGATGCTATCAAGCAATTGCAGTCGATGAAAGAGAATAAATGCCATTTGGATGAGATTGCCTGCAATGCCTTGCTTAGTGGGTTATGTCAGATCGGCAGAATTGATCAGGCTTTTAATCAGTTAAAATTGTTCCAGGTGGATGGATTTGTTCTTGGATTGAATGGATATAGCTGCTTAATTGATGGCTTGTTCAGGGCAAGGAGGTTTGAGGAGGCCTGTGGATTTTATCATGAAATGTTGAAAAATAGTATTAGGCCCGATTGTATCTTGTACACTATAATGATCAGAGGGCATGCTGAAGCTGGCAGGATCGAGGAAGCTTTTGAATTTTTCAATGAGATGACCATTGGAGGATTGGTTCCAGACACATATTGCTACAATACCTTGATCAAAGGATTATGTGATGCTGGCCTTTTGGATAGAGCCAGGTCATTAAAACTCGAGATTTCCCAAAATGGTTGCTTTCCTGATTCCGCTACATTTTCTATTTTAATTTGTGGGTTGTGCAAGGAAGGCCTCATTCATGAGGCACAAAAAATATTTGATGACATGGGAAAAGCTGGCTGCTTTCCCACCGTCATGACCTTCAATTCTCTCATAAGTGGGCTCTGCAAAGCGGGAAAGATGGAAGAAGCTCAGCTTCTTTTCTATAAGATGGAAATGGGAACAAACCCTTATTTATTCTTTCGGCTCTCTCAGGGTCCCGAGCAAGTCCATAATATCACTACTCTTCAGGGAAGGATTAGAGAATTATGCATGTCAGGTGATATACTCAAAGCTTATAAGCTTCTCTGTGCCATCATAAATAGTGGAGTTGCACCTGATGTTGTTACTTATAACATTCTGATTAATGGAATGTGTAAGGCCGGAAAGATTAAACAAGCACTGAAGCTCTTAGAGGAGCTTCAGACAAAAGGTCATTTCCCTGATGCTATTACTTATGGAACCCTTATTGATGGGTTATCGAGGCTCCACAGGGACAATGATGTGTCTGAGTTACTGGAGCACATGCTGAAGAATGGATGCAAACCTAGTGTGTCAATCTACAACACCCAAATGAGAACACTCACCAGGAGGAGGCAAACTTCAAAAGCAGTGTTATTGTGGTTGGATTACATCTCCCATGAGAAAACTAATTCAGAAGAAGCTGAAACTATTTGTATAGCTCGGAAGCATTTTGAAGAAGGATGCTTCGTGGAAGCTGTCAGAACCTTGTTTGTGTTAGAAAGAAATCAGGGTTCGGCAAACTCTTTTCCATATACTATTTGGCTCATAGGGCTATGTCAGGAATGGAAGATTGATGAGGCTTTGGGGATTTTTACCCTCCTCAGGGAGTTTGACATAGAGGCAACTCCTCCCAGTTGTGCATTGCTTATCAATTACCTATGCAGGACTGGAAAGCTAGGTTCAGCATTAGATGTCATGCTTTATTCTTTGAGGAAAGGCTTCTTATTTATGAAACCTGTGGGTAACCGTTTACTAAGAAGGCTATGTCTTCGTAATAAGATGAAGGATGCACATGAGCTCGTGCACCGAATGAATCTTGCTGGGTACAATATGGATTTATATCTTAGGAAATCTACAAAGGCCCTGCTGCATCCATACTAGATTAGCGAATTATGATTTTTTTGGCATGGCAACCTTATTGTTATTTGTGAGATATATTTTAAGGATTTTGTAATTTTTTTTGCAGTTATCTTAAGTTTTGTCAACGATTTTGTTGATTCATTTATTCTGCTTGAGGGATGATATACAACTATATTCATTTGTCTGTACAATTAACAGCCAAAAGGCTAATGACATAAGGTTTCATTGAAATAAACGGTTTTTGAACATGTATATTTTTAAGTATTGTTTTGTTATCTTATATGAAAGAAAGTATGCCTAAAACTTAATCTAACACTTTACTCGGTGTTCAAATTTCAGTAGTACGAGCTGTCAAAGTGCGCTAAATTCATGCTGCATTTCCCATTGTAAGTTTAACATGATCTGTGAACTTGGAAAGAGTCTAATGCGACATCTTGGCTCATGCTTGTATTTGGAGATAGATTGCTATTCTAAGTGGTGATCTCCTATGCATATTTAAACTACCACTGCCTCTCCCGCAAGCTTATCCAATATTTCAGCTTTGCTTAAACTTGGCTCTACAATTTAGTCAAAGGCAACAAACGGGACTCCTTATTTTAGTAATCTTTGATATTGCTTTTGATTTTTGACTTATCAGGTTTTATTGATGTTTTCCTTTTTTCTTTTAAGAAATATTATGATGCTCTCATTGAGCTTGGCATAAGCTAGAATTGCTTCACCACACTTGAGGTTAGAAACAGTTGACGTTAGAAGTATTCAACTGCCTAATGACTTTTGCAGTTGTTGGCCAAGGATTATATATTTGCTTTACTATTTAGAACACCTTCCTGATTTAGATCCTCCCATTAGAAGTTCTTCATCGGTTCTATATCTACAAACCGATAAACATGAATGCGTTAATGGAAAATATTGTTGGTTGAGGATATTCTGTAGAAGGGAACTCCTTTGATCTGCATCTTTCTGGTCACTAGATAGAATGTCTTGATTTGTTGGATTGGCAGCAGCGTTAATACCTTTATTTCATTACTAGTAAAGCCATTATCTTATTATTTTTTCTTTCTAACCGGAGCAGATTTGTTTTACTGAATTTTGATTTAACATTTCCATTTATTCTATTCGAGGTTTAGGCATCTCATGAATAGTTTGAAAGATAATGTTGTAAAAATTAACGATATTATAGATATAATTATAGCTCTAAAGATTGTTGTTGATACGAAGATTTTTAATGTTATAAGTCCTAAGCTTTGCAAGTAGTTTTAGATATAGGTTTAAAAGAAAATTTCACAAATGATATCTTTTAAAGAAATAATTTTTATTGGAGGAGATTTATATGGATATGTCAGTAGAGTGGTGAAAAATTTTAGAAATATTCAAGATTGCTACGGTTTTGAAGTGATTAATGAAGAATGTAGAACCATATTTATCATATGCTTTGTTATTGCTAATACTTTATTTAAGAAAGAAAGTCGAGAATATTATTATTTTTAAGAATGGATCTAAGAAAACACAAATTGATTATTTTTTTATGAGAAAAAAAATATCGTCAAGAGTATAAAGATCGTAAGTTTATTTTAAGTTAAAATTTAAGTGTTTTACATTGATTATTAGTTGTGAATTTTAAGATGATGAATTGTAAGATAAATAATTCAAGAAAAAATTGTCATATAATTAGATGAAAGACCTAAAAGACACAAATAAAATTATTTGTACGAGTAAACTTCAAGATTTCATGATTTCAAGATTTGGGGTGTTCATGAAAAAAAATTATATGTTGGATAAAGTAACAAACACTATTTAACAAGTGACAAATGATGTACTTGGATAATTAAAAGGAAAAGTTTTTATAAATGAACATAGTTCATGTTGGAATAATAATGCGCAAAATAAAGATAAAATTAAAATAGTGTTCTAAAAATTGGTTTAGATGCGAAAACTTAGAGAACTTAGAAAAATATAACGTGACCCGTATTGAGCCTAAGAGAAATTTGTGATGCTAAAACTTCTGTTTTTAACGATTTTTATAATAGATTAGATGCTAAAGAAGATGAAGAATAGATGTATAAACCAGTCAAACAAAGAGAAAAGAAAAGTAAATATTTAATTCAAGTAAAGTATTGAAGATGAAAATAAAAATGTGTTTTTCTTAGAGAAAAATATTCAACATAGGTGAGTGAAGTATTTTGATAAAATTTCAATGAAGTTTTTGAAAGTACGATCGATGTTAGTGATCCTAACGTCATTAATCATAATAAAATGTGTTATTTTTACCGTCGCATTAGTAAAAAAGAAGTTGATGAGGCTTTAAAGAAAATCAATGGTGAAAAATAAGGAGTTAATGATCCCAATTGAAGTGTTAAAATATTTAGGAGATTCTTGTCTTACTAAACTCTTTATATTATTTTAAAAACTATAAAGATGCCTAAAGAGTGGAGGAAGAGTATTTTGCTCGACATTTTAAGAATAAAAATGATGCACAAGAGTGTACAAATTATAGAGAAACCAAGTTGATGTGTCATAATTTAAAATTATGAGAGAGGGTAAATGAACATAGGTTAAGATGTGAATCAAAGATTTCTAGTAATTAGTTTGGATTTATGTCGAGCAGGTTTTCTATGGAAGATATACATTCATTAAGAGGTTTGATGGAAAAGTACATAGAGAATAAGGAGGCTCTATATATGATTTTGTTTTTTAGAAAAAGCTTACGATAAGGTTCCAAGAGAAGTTCTAGAGAAAAAGATGTTGATATGACTTAAATTCAAATCATTAAAGATATGTAAGTTAGAGCGTGCAATACTCTATGGTGCAGAATGTCGGGCTTTAAAAGAGTAGCATAAAAAAGGTTAAGTGCTGTCGAGATGAGAATGCTTGTGGATGAGTAGCTTGACACTTAGAGACAAAATGTCAAATGAATATATCAGTGATATCAGTGATATGGTTGGTGTTGCTTCAGTTGCAGACAAAATTAAAGAGAGTCATCTTAGATGATATGACCACATTAAACGTCGACCATCTGATGATCGTGTTAGGAGAATGGATGTTTTAGATTCGACTTATGTTAAAACAAAATTAAAGAGAGTCATCTTAGATGATATGACCGCATTAAACGTCGACTATCTGATGATCGTGTCAGGAGAATGGATGTTTTAGATTCGACTTATGTTAAGGAAGGCAGAGGTAGACCAAAAAGAACTTAGGCATGTTGTATAAGAAATGATCTTAATCAATTATAATTAAATGAAAATATGATACTCAATAGGATGCAATAGAGAAAAAAGATTCATACAGCTGACCATACTTAGTGAGATGTAGGTTTGTTGTTGTTGCATGCAGTTCAACCAGACAATTTTGTATCTGTGGGTTTGTGGGTTATTCAATTAACAATAAAACTGCTTAATAAAACTTACTAAATAAAGTTTATTTGAGGCAACGGTTTATTTTGAGATTTATATCTGAGCCCAACTATAGTTATGATCAATGCATTAATTCCATGGTCTTGTTTTTATTAATGTTTAATTATAATTTTGTATGACAATTGAGCAGGTCTATCCCTCGCAAGTTGATCATCATTCAAGTGGCAAGTTGGCAAATGACAACTTGAGAATTGAGATGACATTAGTCACATTATTACATATTTGATTGTAAATTTGTAATTTTAATATCATTATTTATTTCTTTTATTTTAATTTACTTTATATTTTAATTATAAATTTGAATGTTATAAGTTCATTAATTTTAAATGTATTTAGATTTTTGTCTTATAAAGCTTATAATTAAAAATGTATAGAAATAAAAATTTTCCAATTTCAAAGTATTTTTAAAATTTTTTTGAATTTTTAGAAGCATTTTTGAGCTAATTCAAACCAAACGAGCTCAATTTGAACTATTTTGAATAAAATCGAACGAAACATAATTTTTCAATTAATACCGAGCTATTTCGAGATTAAACAAACAATTCGACCCAAATTCAAATAAATCAAATCAACATAAAACTCATGAACAAATTCGAACACAAGCCGATTTTGAACACAAATACTTTCAAATGAGCTGAACACAAGGCAGCTCGGCTCGCTCATGTTCGACCCGTTTACACGACTACAATAAGCTAATTTTATATTAGCTCTCCATTGTGATTTATATCTTTCTAGTAGTAAGGAAAAATTGAAAAGACATCATTTAACAAACAATTTTATCCTAAGAAATTATCAAAATGCACTTATATGCAAAAAAAATTAACAAAAAGAAAAAAGAAAGAAAATTAATAATGGTTTTCACCAATGGCCCTAAGCTCATCCTAACATGGGTTATATAGAACCCCTTAAGTAGAATGAAATTTAATGTTAAATATCAAAGATATTTTTTAGTGTAACAACTAGAGTTTCATAAAAAAATCCAAAATTAAATGTTGTATAGTAGTCTTCGGATGGGTGACCTCTTGCGAAGTTACTCCAATATGAGAAAAGCGTAAGGCCATTAGGCTAAAGAGGACAATCTCTCAATGGGTGAGAATTCGGGTTGTTACGAATGGTACCTGAGTATTACACCACTCTGAAGATGGGAACCAAGTGTCCTACAGGACAAAATGCTATGCCATGAGAGTCGTCTCTTGAACCATAGATGAGACAACGTTATATGGTCGAAATTTGAACCACTCTGATGGAGCGACTCAGAGAGATTCCTTTAATCGGTCAGTATTTTATGGATATTGAAATGCCTTAATAATGTCAGAATTGAGAGATCTTGGGCTCTTTGGATTTTTTTTTTGAGACGTTAGATTCTACTATAAGCTCTCAAGATTCGGCTTCAGTTTGAACTTCCAATATGCTTGTAAAGCTTCAAAAAGTGGTTCAGTGACTTGATTAGGGCTTGAGCTAGCTCATATTCGACCAATATTTGTACCATTGGATATGTCTCATTGAGCCCGACAATTTGATTGTAAGTTTACTGAAATTGCAGCTCTGAAAGACTTTTAATTGAAGTTTGACACGTCAGTTTGATTGTAAGTTGCCTCGAGATTCATGCTATGCCTCGAGATTCATGCATGATGATGGGAATTTGTTGATGACGTAGCATTTACTCCCCTATTTTCGGGTGAGAGCAAGTTCTTTGTCCAAAAATATTGAAATATATATATATATATATATATAT